AAAAAAAAAAAAAAAAAAGATAGTGGTGGTGGTTACACGAATTTATGAGTTGTATCACAATTAAAAAATATAAAACAAAAATTAGATTATGCTTATGGTGGCACAAATCTGTAAATATATTTTAAAAACCATTGAATTGTACATTTAAAACAGGTGAATTTTGTGTTATGTGAATTATCTCACTAAAGCTATTAAAAGTAGTTCTTGAGGACTTCTAAAAAGAAATAAGATAACTGATAATTTAACATCAGCTTTTTTTATTTGTATGGGTAAAAATCATGATTGATAAAACTCATGAAATATATTCATTCTTATGTTTGAAATGGGTGACACATAGTTTGAATGTCAGCATTGTCTGTCAAGTATTTTTTATATCTCCTGCCCTTTCCAATAAGATTCAGAAGAGTTGGAATATAATTTATTTTTCTGATTTTGAAAGGGAAAAAGCCTAAATTACTTAAAGCTTAGTAAGACCAAAAAAGAAAAAAATTGAAATGCTCTCCTGCATTTACATAGGGTTAAAGTTTATGGTAAATGATACTCATCCAAGGGAGTAACCAGTGTGACTGTAGCCCCCCATTTTTTTTTCTTTTTTTTTTTTTGCCGAGGCTGGGTTTGAACCCACCACCTCCAGCATATGGGGCCGACACCCTACTCCTTGAGCCACAGCCGCCGCCCCCATTTTTTTTTCTTTAGAGATATATTTTGAAATAGAAATTAATCTACTGAAAATACTTAAGGATTCTCCTAGCTTCAGAGGAGAAGAACAAGGATTCACAATGTCTAGTTATCCAGAAGAGTTATGCAATGTAGTGTGCAATTTTAAACTGCACATGAACTTTATGGCCACCCTGTATTTATTGAATGTACAGTCTTTACCTTTGTGGAGTTTATAGTGGGAGAAATAATCACATCAATAAATTTGTTAAATTGCAAATGTGGTACATAATATGATAACAGGGCCTCACTCTTGTTTAGGCTGGACTTGAACTCCTGACCTCAAGGGATCCTCTTGCCTTGGCTTCTCAGAGTGCTAGGATTATAGGTGTGAGCCTCTGCACCTGGTCTGTAGGTTTGTTCTTAAGTTGAATTTGTATGGATGTTGGAGCAGGTACATTTACCTATTATCTGTAATAGCCTCTATTTGTAAGCACAAGTTGTAATTCAGTCAGATGTTTATAACTCTAGACTGCCTGTATATGTATGTATGTATTTATTTAGAGACAGAATCTCAAGCTGTCACCTTGGGTAGAGTGTCGTGGTGTCATACATAGCTCACAGCAACATCTAAGTCTTGGGCTCAAGCAATCCTCTTGCCTCAGTTTTTCTATTTTTAGTAGAGACAGGGTCTTGATTTTTGCTCAGGCTGGTCTTGAACTCAGTAGCTCAAGCAATCCACCCACCTCAGCCTCCCAGATTGGTAGGACTACAGGAGTGAGCCACTGGCCTGGCCTGTATTTTCCTTTTTAAATGAACAGATTTCATAGAGCAGCAGTTCTCAAATTGTTGTCTTGTAGACCCTAGGCCTCCCTAAGCCCCTTTCCAGGGAGCATGGGCCTATTTTCATAATAATTGTAAAACATAATTTGAGGTTGTTTACTGCATTAGCATTTATACTGATGGCTCCAGCAACAAAAGCCACTTTTCACTTAAGGTCCATGCTTATACAATAGAAGATATTCATTTTATTACATCTTGACTCTTGGGTATACATATTCTGTATGATGAAATGAGAAGTATGTATACTTCTGCATCTAGTGTGTAGTTGCCTCAGAAAAGCATTTATGCAATTAAAGTGGCTGCTTTTTCAAGACATATTATTTTTACCTGATAGACCGACAGTCAAAATTTAAAATATGTGTGTTGTAAGGGGTACTGTCAAAATGAAACCACTACCTATAACATTGGGAAAAATTTTTAGAAATCCTGTATCTGAAAAGGAACTTCTATTTAGCATATATAAAGATTTATTACATCTCACTAATAAAAACTTCCCAAATTTTAAAATGAAGAAAGGATCTAAACAGATATTTCTCAAAAAATATAAAAATAGTAAGCACATGAAAGATGCTACCATTATTAATGTGTGTTATAAATCAGGGATTCTCTATAACCTAAAATCCTTGAACCCCTTAGGGATCTTGTTTTTGCTTTTGTGTGTATATTTTCTTGGTCTTTTTGTTCTTAGTTTTTTCTCTTCTGAGGACATTCTTAACCCCAAATTGATTAATAGCTGTTACTTTTGAAACTTGACTTTCAAAATTTGCTATTAGCTTAAAGCACTGTTGATCTCAAGG